AATAGAAAGAAAAATAATAAAAACGCTAGTGTTAGAGGGTAATTTTAATATAAATAAATAAAAAAAGAAAACAAGTAAATAGAATAGAGAGTGCTTGTGTTAGAAGGTCAAGTGTAGATTTTCATATTGCTTGGACTAGAATTCAACAAAGTCAAAAGAATAGAAAAATAATAAAAACGCTAGTGTTAGAGGGTAATTTTAATATAAATAAATAAAAAAAGAAAACAAGTAAATAGAATAGAGAGTGCTTGTGTTAGAAGGTCAAGTGTAGATTTTCATATTGCTTGGACTAATGAGAATTCAACTTTTTTAAATATACCAAAGTATAATAGGCTAATACATGTTTAAATGATATTAACCAAGATTAACAAATGCTATAAAACAGTGCGTATTGACATTAATTTTAACCAATGTCAAATATAACCCAAAGTGTTTCCCATTTGACTGTATTATGTGATAATATTTCCTTGTTGTACTTAAAGACAGACAATGGGAGTTTAATGTCCAATGTACTGCATTTAATCATATCAAATTCACAATAAACAGTTTATTTTCCTTAAAAATAAAGCCTAAAAATATCTCTGCTGAACAAATAACTAAAACCTGCCCAAGATGGTCTTAGCTGCCATAAACTACCATAAACCTGATGTCAGGTACTTTTGGAAAAGGGGACCCAAGAGCAGAGAAATGCACCAAATCAAACTTTATTAATGAAACAGAACATCCAAAGGCCGAGTCGCTGAGTTACGAGTTAGCGAACAGTGCAAAGGAGTGAGTAGGAGTGAAGTCAGGGCAGGCAAACGATCACAACCTGAGAGGCAGACAGCACATTAAAGAGATCCAACAGAGGCACACAAAAACAGAGAATAACAAGACCGGTTGACAGACAGGAAGAACAAAAAGAGAGGAGGAAAGAAGATCAAATCTGAAACCTGACAGTAGTACCCCATCCCAGGGGTGCCACCTGACAGTCCAGGGGGTTGAGATGACCGGCCACAATGGAATTCTCTGATGAACGAGCGGCTTCTTGGTCATCTGCTTGAGATCCTGGTTTGTCCACTTGACAGACTGGTGGCAGTGCCAATCTGCTGGCAGATTCCCTCCAGAAACGGTAGACGAACTGGGGCCCCCTGTCAGAGAACACTTCAAGACCATGAATCTGCAAGACATGGTTCAAGATCTCCCGTCTCCTCGGCAGAGGGGAGTTTGGGCAGGGGCATGAAATGAACCACCCTGGAGTACTCGTCCACTACTGTGTGGATCACTGAGCCTGCCTGGAGTTCAGCCGTTTAGCCAGCTGTATATACTCCAGGTTCCTGTGGTCAGTCCACACCACAAATGGAAAAGCCACTCCCTCCAGCCTCTGAGCCATTGAGACACGTTGGAGATTAATGCCGTCAGAGAGGTAATTTTGAATAGAAATTGGAAAACCCAGTAATTGCTGGGGGCTTTGTGTGAGCCAGTTAGAAATGACCCAAAGGCCATCCGTCCAGGGCAGCAATAGCCAGAGGAGAAGGAAGAGACTCATAGGGAATACTGAGCTCCTTGGCTAGGGAACAGCTCATTACAATTTCCATTTCCACCCAGGCCTGCAAAAAATGGTATTGACTGAAGGAATAATCCTCCTGAATCGGTGAAGGGTAGCCATTAGGGAAACTAGGGTAACTGCAGAGGACAGAGCTTTTCCCAAAAGCTCGGGACAGCTGACTCGAAAGTGCCCAGATAAGCCACAGTAAAGGCAGCACTGCCCCCTCATGCGGCTGTCATGTTCAGCAGGGGGAATCCTGGTACTTCCCAGCTGCACAGGTTTAGGGGGTTCTTGGGAGATTTGAACCACTGGATGTATAGGTGTTGGGATGACAAACTTATGGCTCCAGTCTCTTATGGCTGCCACATCTATGGGACCTTGTGAATGTCAGCGGGGTCTTTGGTGGCAAGTTCATCCTGGATGGTGTTGGTGTATGAGAGACCGATCTGGAAACACACAATGATTGCCTCTGTATCCTAGCCACTTTTTGCTGCGATGCTGGGGAACTGAATGGCATATTCTGCCACACTACAACTGCCCTTCGAGGCCTCAAGGCCTCGGAGTGGATGGTTGAACACCAATCTAAATTTCTTAACAAATGAGGAGTAACTGGAACAGAAGGGGCTGCTGGCCTCGGAGACAACTGTAGCCCAGGACAGGCCTCTTCCAGACAGAAGAGTGATAATGTAAGTAATTTTTGGCTGTGTCAGAAGGAAATGATGGCTGACAATAAGGGCACACTGTGCGAAGAAGCCATTACAGGTGCTATGGTCTCCTGAAAGCGATTGTGTCAGTGTCACTGACATTGTCGTGGAACATGTCACCGCATGTCAGCTGGAGTATAACGTAGACTGTGTAACAGATGCACTTAACGGCAGAACGATATTTAATTGATAATACATTTCTGTTTCTGTCAGGCATATTAATTACATCAAATGTAACGAAAAACCTAAAATGTGTAATGTAATGGATTACGTTACTAACTACATTTTTTGTGATGTAATTTGGAATCAGTAATGGATTACAATTTTCAAGTAATCTACACAGCTCTGTATTTGTTTCCCTAGAGTTCATTCTAGCTAACGAAGGAGCGAATGTCAGGTGAGATGTTCAGTTGAAAGTTGAAACACTGATTTGAGTCCCTATGATGCACTAGCTTCCGGTCCAGGGTGTGTATTATTGATGGGTTTCAAAGTGTAGCGACCACGATATTAATGCAGTAGGCTATTACTGCAGAAGTTCATGGTGTGATTTGTTGCTCCACTGCTTCCCAGATAGCAAGATCCCAAATAGCACACGTACGTCTGCAAGATGTCTGTTAAAGATCTCTTGATCTGGAAAGCATCTGCTGTCTACAAACATCTGAAAGACGTCTCTAAGATGTCAGTTTTACATGCATTCTAAATCATAAACATCTTAAAGACATCTAATAGACGTCTATTTGACATCTAAAAGGAAAAGTCCTATAGACCTATTGCAGATGAGCAAACTCTCTAAAAAATACGTCTTGCAGATGTCATGCAGACGTCAAATAGACATCTCCGAGATGTACGTGTGCTATCAGGGATGTCTTTTAAAGATCTCTTCATCTGGAAAGCATCTGCTGTGTGCAAACATCTGATAGACGTCTCTAAGATGTCAGTTTTACATACATTCTAAATCATAAACATCTTAAAGACATTTTCTAAACGTCTATTTGACATCTGATAGGAAACGTCCTATAGAGGTATTGCAGATGAGAAAACACTCTAAAAAATTCGTCTCGCAGACGTCAAATAGTCGTTTCTGTTATTGGTTTTTGACGGTCTCCCTCCAGTGGCATAGTAGCTTTATTAAATGGGATTGCTTGGTTTTTAATATTCATTATCCAAGCCTTTGCCACTGGAAGGTAACCAAGCAGAGTCAACATTATGTAATTAATATATTCGTGAATAAGTCCTTCACCGTGCACCAAGCAACGTCTTCGAGACCTTATTAATATTTATAACCCAAACCTTTGCCATAGTAATTTCGCATGAAGTCTACTTAGTCGCGCGCCGAGATCATCGAGCGAGTCATCATGCAGTTGCAGCGTCATTGTGGGCTGCTGTTTGAATGAAGTTAGCAGACACTCAAACCTTCCGCACCCCAACTTAAAACCGGTCTTTAGAGTTGAGCTGAATACAGGACAAGTCAAGAGAAAGATGCCCGTATTTACAGGTCTGTTTACAAGATGATTTTACATAAATCATAGTTGGTTTTTAAACGATGAGAGATGCGCGAGAAGAGGCAGCGCCGTTAGCATTAGACATTAGCTTCAGGCCTCAAGCGATAGTTTCTGTTTTAAAACAGGGAAGAGCTAAATAAAGAAGCAGAAATCCCATAGCAAGCCTTCTGGCGTGCCTTTTATTTAGGAGAAGCGTTTATTATTTTATATGGATATTTATTGTCTGAAATATAAATCATTATATGGGTGATGCATGTTATCATGCCGGCTAGGCGGCTTACACTTTATTAAAATGCCTTTTAAACTTATAGCACTTTTCAATCGACAGACAGTATTATTGAACAGTATACTGTATACATACTTTACGCCCACATTTATGCAGAATTTACTATAGAACTTAATGCAACATGCATTGAAGTGTCTAGCGAACTACATGGCACATGTACGCGTTCATTTTAATGTATTTCCAGTGATAGATCTGTTAAAGCTATATTTTTGTAGACCAAAGTAAGTCTCTCATGTGGTTAGTTTGTCTTGTGTGTAGACATCACTTATCAGTTGTGTTAATGGGGTTTCAAGCAAACATTTAAAGGAACAGTTCACCCAAAAATGTCAATTTTGTCATTATTTACTATTTACCTCATTTTATTCCACAACCTCCTTTCATCCTTGGAACATAAAAGGAGATGTTTTGCAGAATGTTAAAGCTGCTTATTTTTAAAGAATAGGCAAAAATTGTGGGAAATGCCTCCTAGAATTGTGCACTTTCTGAAGTCCTATGTTAGTTTAAAAACCCCTTAACTGTCACCCCCCCCATTTTTTAAAATAGGCATGCAGGTGCACTATCCAAACTTAAATTGTTGTAATTTATGAACACTTTGGAATACAGGCATAAGGTCTCTTTTTAAAGAAGAAAATCAGCTGATTATCGCAAAAGTGGAATTTTTAAAAAGAATTGAAGTATCAAAAAGTTATGCTCTGTCACAAATGTCTAGATTTCTCTGTCAATATTACTTCTATCCTGAGACTCGGACCTTTCCAATGATATGTCTTTTTTCAAGATTATAAAAAGTTTTGATTGTAAAAGAGCGTAATGCATTTTGTAATATGACACTTGAAACCGCCCACTAAGGGGGAGGAGACCGCCAAAAGATTTTAAAGTACCATTTCCATGGTAACGCAATTCCCGATTTCCCACGGGATGAATCTTGGGCTTCTAAGCTTTCAAATGATTTATGATGATTACTAAAGGATTTGATAGAGAAAAGGACAACAACAAAAAAGAGTGCCAAGCGTCCCACAGGTGGGACGGTGACCGTTAAGGGGTTTTAATTTGAAGAACAGCATAAAAGTTTATTTTCTTTCTGGCTCGCAGGTTTAAGTACAGTCCCACATGACATATAATGATGCACAAGTGTTGAAGTGCAGTTTCATTTCGTTATGCTATTAATATTTGTTTCCCACCCAAACAGAACAAAAAAAACTAAACTTATTTTTGAGTGGAAGATTATTGAATTTTCACTTTTGGGTGAGCTGGCTGTTTTAAAGCTGTTCCTGGAGTCTCACCTGTACCACACATTTGGGATGTTTCCTTTATGGACCCTTATCACATTTCAGCGTTTTCAGAAGCAAAAGTCGTCAGAGATGGGTAAACTAGTATCGTGATGAATTCGAGATGTGCTTTTTACACTCCAGTTTGCTCCAATAAAAAAAAAAATCTATGATAACAACATTACCACAACTCACCAAAAGAGGGGAAAAAATATAGAGAGATTGATTACAGCAAATGTATTGTCACTCCTTAAGACCTTGTATTAGAAACGCTCTTTTAGCAGCGTTAACTAGTTAGTTTAATTCCAAAACAAGTTAATAATTAATAACTGATGATAATTGCGAAAATCACTGTTGGTGAAAAAGTTTCTTTCTTTTTATTATCAGCAGATACTGAATGATTTTGCTGTATCTCTGAAGTGTCTTGATTTATTTCATTTGTTTTTGCAATCTTAGTGAATGTGAAATGGGGAAAGGAGAAGTTTGATGCGGTGGAGCTGAATACAGAGGAGCCTCCCATGGTGTTCAAAGCCCAGCTCTTCGCTCTAACGGGGGTTCAGCCAGAGAGACAGAAAGTCATGGTGAAAGGCGGAACGCTGAAGGTACTGGCTGTGAGCTGTAATTGAGAACATTAGTATTTTGCTGTCCTCTGTTTGACTTATTTAACTTTTGTTCGCCAGGATGACGAGTGGGGCAACATCAAGTTGAAAAATGTAAGTATGTGGCTAAATCTATTTTCTAGAAGATTCTGAAAATGAAGTTTTGTTCTGGAATCAGAATTCAGCAGTTATTAGTTAAACATTTAAAGGGTTAGTTCACCCAAAAATGAAAATTCTGTCATTAATTACTCACCCTCATGTCGTTCTAAACCCGTAAGACCTCATGTTCGGAACACAAATTAAGATATTTTTGATGAAATACGAGAGCTTTCTGACCCTCCCATAGACAGCAATGTAATTACCACGATCAAGGTCCAGAAACATAGCAAGGACATTTTTATGCTTTCAAATAATTAGACATGCTAAAACAGAATTTGGTTACAATAAAACATAAGGTTGGAAAAATAAAACATTTCATAGGGCCCTAAACATGTAATATTTGTTAAACTTTTAATAAATTGATGTTAAATTGTTTAAGTTTCATGATTTTAATTAATTCGACATGCTTTTTGATTAATAAAATGTAATTTAACCAATAAAAAGGAGTCCCGAAAAAAGAAGAAAAAAAACGGAACATCCCCCTTCCCTAAGCCGTAAACCTAGGGGAAACACTGAAAAGTATTCTCGTAGCTTCGTAAAATTACAGTTGAACCCCTGATATCACAATGATTATTTTACCGATCTTCTTGCTACGTTTGTGGACCTTGATCGTGGTAATTACATTGCTGTCTATGGGAGGGTCAGAGAGCTCTCAGAATTCATCAAAAATATCTTAATTTGTGTTCCGAAGATGAACGGAGGTCTTACG